ACATATAAATCAAATATGTAAAGGTTTAGCTTTGTACCTTGTAAAATAATGGTGCATGCTGTTTCCACTCTCCAATCAATTCCTCCCATTTGAACTGAAGGAGATCATCTGATTCACACTGTTGTAAGATTATCTGGAAATTTCCTGCACCTCATTTCTCACCGATTTTGCAAAACAATCTATGAGGGCAACTCTTAGGCTGTCACATGCCCATATGTTGCCTGCAACTGCTTTGTCACCGCGGTTTTGCACTATTGATTTGAGAAAAGCTTTGTATTCCTCTTTGACTAGTTTTTAGTCTTTTTCACCCCTGGTTTATATTTGACCTCAACCTGCAAAAAAATTAATCATTTTTTTTGAAAATATATGAAATAGAGTTAAAAAAAGACTACATTGAACTCGCAGATGTTACAACCCTGTATCAGTATGATCACCTAATGCATAATACATTTCATATCTGTATCATTATGATAATATATTTATCTCTGACATTATTCATTCTATTAAAGGGTTTTAAGATAGGTGAATGCTTTTAAATTATAAATGAATAATAACTAGAATGGCTTATTAAACAAGTTCAATGCCAAGTTATTAGAGAAGGGTCGGTCACGGTTCAGTTCGGTTCGGTACGATTCTCGGTTCTTGCCTCTCGGTTCGGTCGGTTCTTCAATCATATACTTAATAAGGTGGGCCTCATAAATTGCAATTGTTGCCACAAATATGGCAACATAAAAAGGTGTTTCTCTTTTATTTTGTATTATTGGGGGATATAATTTTATTTTCAATCTCATAAATGATCAATATGGAATGACGATAGCTGATAATCATTGAATATTTATGGAATTAAATAACTAGAATTGAACTATTTGTAGGTGGCTATCAACAAGTCGCTTGCCCCGTATTAGATGGGAGGGATTCCTTTTTAAACTGGGTCTGGTTGGGTAAGACCTTTCAATATGTTTTCTCACGACAGATATGTTTCCTGAAAACTTAAATTATATGGATAGCACAGATGTCCTTCAGTTGGGAATAACAGTGCAGTGGGCTAGGGGGGTGTTTACCCATATTCTCAACCTGACTTAGGACCTGGGGTAGGACACATGAAAAAGTGTAAATATCATTCATAAAAATGTTACTATGAGTGGGTAATAGAAGGCAGTTCCAAGATAGGGAATGAATTGAAGTCTAATAAAGATCGCAGTCTTCATTTTTAAAATTAAAAAAATTTACAAAAAGTTTCAATCACAAAAATTGGAAACCTGCAGCGTATTTCAATGTCGTGTTGCACAACCGACATAGGGTAGACGTATTCTCATCGTAGAAACCGAATACTTCCAATCATCCAACTTAGGCATCGCGGGGAAAGGCTCTATTACGGTTTTACTAGCTCTTTGCCTAAGACTTCGAAAACTCTTCCGCCATTTTTAAAACACAAGTGTTTCCGCGCGAAATTAATTCACGCTCCCAAATAGAATTATGTTCCCTCGAGACGTGGAAGCACAATGTAATATCCAAGGAGACGATTTTATTACCTTATGGATCGTTTAAAGTTGTTCAATTGTCGTTTGAATGGTACTTTCATTCGCTATTTAGATGAAATAGAGCTGTAATTATTTGCGCAAAAAATTGGTATTCATGTTACACTGCACGAAAATAAAGTATTTCCCCGGGAATGATGGAACCGTTCTGGACTCGGTTCTTGGTGATCAGACGGTCCCAGTAGAACCGTGAGGCCAAAAACCGCGGTTAATCGAACCGAACCGTAACCGACCCTTCTCTACAAGTTATATTCAATTTAAGACTAATATAGTATTGTACCTTCACATTGTCCATTGCTATCATCTCTACATCATCAATATTCTCTTTCTCCGAGCTATTAAACAATGACTTCATGGATGAGGGATGCACAATTGTCGATTTGGCAACTTTTTCCCTATACCTGAACTGGCTATCTGGCATTTTTATATTTCATAGATGTTTTTGTAGGTGTCTCTGAAATTTCAATAAAATATATTTTTAGATTCATATACTGTTTATTTATAGATTATGAAATTATGAAAAAGTGAAAATGATTTGGGGAGTGTTCTACATATTTCATCCTTGCTTGGCCATTTAATGAACCCTTTAAGTTCAAAATTAATCCATGTTAGAAAAGTTCTACTGATCAATATGCAAAAATTCCAACCTAAGTCTCATTAAAACCATTACAAATTCCTCGAATGTAGAGAGCTGTAAATCAAATCAATAAATGTAAATCAAATCAATAAATGTAAACCTGGTC